TTATACATAGAGGTTGCCAAATCATCCATATGGCACTGGTTTTTTTTTACATGTAATTCTTTGAATTTCAAAAATATAAATTCATGGCATGTTAACATGCTAGTTGGGTACTTTTGTTGATGGAAGGACAAGGTTAGCAGTGAAAAAATAAAGTTTAAGGATAAATTTGATAATTTTATAGTTGGAATTATCACCGACATGGATTATGTTGGTAAATCTCACTCTAATTATCATATTACCCATATTGCTAATTATTAGTTTCTATCTGAAAATTTTAGCAACATGGTTTTTGTTGCTGAAATTCACTTTCAGCAACAAGAACCATGTTACTAAAAAATGAAGATCACTGTTAAGTATTAGCAACATAGGTGTTGTCAGTGAAAATCCACCCATAAATTGCCGGTCAATCAGCGGGGGCATGGGCAATCGGAAAATTTTAGCAACATGGTGCTTATTGCTGAAATTCACTTTCAGCAACAAGAACCATGTTGCTGAAAGTGAAGAACACTTTTTTGGGGAATGAGTACTATTTAAGTATCAGCAACATGGGTTTCGTCGGTGAAAATTTGTATTATTGACGTGCAATTCCATGTTGCTAATACTTAGTTGTTGAAAAAGAAGATTTTAGCAGTGCATATCAGTTTTGATTTTTAAAAATAATTAGAATCTCAATTTATATTTTAAGATCTGTTTTGATAATTATAAATGGAAAAAGATCTGTTTTGAAAAGACAAAAAAAATTAAAATACCATAATAAATCACTTAATATATGGATATTAAAAGAAAAAATCAATTAATAAAAATTCAATAGATTTCTACTACTCTTTACCAACTTATTCGGATCTCTTATACATAAATAAGTAAATAAACTTCTCCCAAACTTGTTATTTCATTCTCCAGCAAAGACATTTTTCAAGAGGGAGTACGGAAGACAAGTATGGTTTCTTCTTCTTCTTCTTCTTCTTCTTCTTTTTCTTTTTGGTATAAAAAGACAGGTATGCTTTCACTACCCTTTAATAACTTCTTTGGATCTTTTTATAAATATAAAAGTAAATAAACTTTCCCCAAACCTGCTCTTTGATTCTCCAGCAAACATATTTTCTTATAGGGTGTACGGAAGATAGAGGTTTTCTTTGAATCTCGTTTTTTATGTATTCTTTTATTAAAGCAATTTCACAAAGCTTCTCCATGTTTCATATATCAAATAAATATATATATATATACTTATCAGTTTTATATTAAATTTAAAAATATATATTTAT